TTTAAGTGAAAAAAGTCGAAACTTGGTAATTGGTTCAAATAAATATTTCGTGTTTTATAAGAAATCATAAAAATTTAAATTGAGTTATGATATCAATATGGTAGACACAAGAAATTTTATAAACAAGTTATTAGTTCGAAATGGGTCAAAGTTGTGAAATTTTATTTACCCTGCGCTTGAGCTTCCTTTCCAATGCTTCCGCAAAAGTGTTCATATTGCCAGCGTTGTCCGCAGTTACACCAAGTATTTTGGAAGAAATTTCGTATTCATCCAATAAATCCATAAATGAGACGGCTAACCGTTCTCCAGTATGCGATCCTTCTAATTCTAGAAGGTCTAGAACTCGAATTTGTAAGTCCCATTTGGTGTCGATCCACTGGGCAATCACTCCTAGGTACGACTTTTGGTTAGCCGAAGTCCAAGCATCAATTATAAAGGAGATTTTGCTGTCAATCGCCTATAGAATCAAAACAATTGAAGTTACTAATATGCATGCAAGACAACTTTCGTAAATATGTATTTATTATTGTTATGTACCATTAATTCACCCTTAAGTTCAATTTTCTTTTCGAGGTAAAGTTTCTCAACATCTGACTTGATTGTGTTGGCACAAGGAAATGTTGCCTGACTATTGCAGTACTTAATTAGACTTTGAAAGGAAGGTTTTTCAGCGAGTCGAAATGGTAGATTCTCTAGAACCGTGACTTCCATTATTCGCTTACGCAAGCCGGCCGCCGTGAAGGGCTCGATTTTATCAACTTGTTTGGAACCTTCAGTTTTCACAAATCCGTCCAATGTAGCGTTTTTTGCGTTAAATAAGCTTGGATGCGTCGCACGCAAATGTTTCACTAGGGCGCTGGTTGACCCATCAGACTTCTTGTGATATTTAGATCTAAATATATGTTCGAAATCAGTCGTGAATGGAATTACAATTATATTTTAGCTCACCTGCATATCTTGCAATGATAATTTCCCGATTCTTCTTCGTAGTCGAAATGTTGATAAGCCAAGGAGCGCTTTTTCCTCGAACTTTTTGGTGAGGAAATTTCATCCCCGCTCTCCTGGATTTCAGTTTCACTTTCACTCATGGTAATTTATTAGCAAAATTTTTGCTATGCGCCCTTGACACAATATTTTTATTTTTATCTTAATAAGCAAGCTCAAAAAACTGTACGGTATAATCCAAACATGTGTGGTGATACGAATAAAGCGCTGTTGTGGCCGTCTCAGACTGCCTTATGAAAATCTTTCTCTTAAAAGTTTATGCTGTGTAATGTGTATGCTGAAATTCATATATACATTTTAATTTTGAATTTGATGTTTCGCCTATTTGCAAAATTAAAACTGTTTCGGATACTTTGGACCATTGGAGACAATTTTAATATTTATACTTTGACCTTACTGCCCTATTATCCATCCCATAAGTTCAACAAATGACTTTATTTCGATTGGTCTTAAGAACCCGTTGTCACGAATTTTATTCGCAATTTCTGAATCACATATTCTTACTCATTGCAAAATAGAACACGCATGTGTAAAAATATCAGACCCTGAAATTTAGATTAACATTCACGACTACGTATTTTTAAGGAAGATGGAAATGCAGTCATGGCTTGACCTTGGGAATCTGATTGCCGGTAAATAACGTCAAAGTTTAAAAACGTATATACTTATATAAATTACATCTTTATATATTAAATTATTTATTTATGATATTTTAATTATGTATATATTTTTGTTAACGGTCTAAAGTTCGGAAAACACTTGCATGTTTGGAAATCGGTGAAGCATTCCATTAATGCCCCAATTTGAGAATCCAATCCTTGTAAGAATTGGGTACCTTGGTCAGTTATGTACATGGTTACATAGTTTCGGAATTCTGAAAGAAAATGCTTCAACCTTAATTGATTAACCTTATCGGTCCGACCGGACCGAAGCTTATCGGTCCGGTCCTGGAGGGTCAGGACCGAGACCGGACCGGAATTTTTTATCGGTCTCGGTCCGGTCTAAGCCCAGGACCGGGACCGGACCGAACCGGAGTTATCGGTCCGGTCCGGTCCGTGGACCGGACCATTGAGAACACTATCCATAACCAAGTATGGTCGAGCGCTAAAATTACTTCCATTTCTATACAAGCAATGTACATATATGTGCAAAACTGGCTTTGATTTTAATGCCCCGACCAAAAAATTAGATAATATATTGTCGGACTAATTCCAAAACCACGTAAGTGCACTCTCTGCACAAAAAAGTGCCAAAAAACAAGGAAAATAACCTCACTGCAAAATTGCAGTTAGGTTATTTTCCTTGTTACTTGTTGTGCATTTACGTCGTTTTAGAATTACGAAGCGACTGCACTTACGTAGCTTTAGAATTAGTCCATTAGAAAATGTAATAAATATGTGTGAAATTGGTAAAAGAATGTTAGGTATTTGATTTCTCCTTTTTAGATGCGAAAATCTCTATCAAACATTTGCAGAACCTTTTTTTTTGCCAACTGAACACTTCTTTGATTTGTGACGGATTAAACTTAATTCTATCAAAGTTGGAGACCATATGCTGAGAGACCTTCATTGTGAGAGGTCACGATTGTCATAGTACGTTTACCGGTTAGAAGGTCACGATTGTGCACTAAATATAACCATGAAATATATTTATGAAATATGTAAGCAGTGATTAAAAAAAAGTGACTACATGGTTGCGACACTTTTCAATATTCATTTTCTGGGGAATCATACAAGACTGGTTTATGATTGATGGATTCTTAACTAAATGCAGGCCCGTACCGACGATGCTTCTAGGTGGAGCGCTGGCTCCGGGCCGTACCGGGACGCCCTATGCACTAGATATAATTGTCCTATCACAGGCCGCAAGATAAATGCATATTAAGCGCGGGAAAATGTAAGGCAGACATGCTTTATTTGCGAGGCCGGATGTTCCTAGTCAACAATGTAACAATTTTAAACCAGAATCTGCTCTTACGGGGATAGACCTTTAGCTAATGGATACTTTGATATGTGTCATGCAAAATATATGATTACAATTTCAGACCTATCTCCACGAATTCATAATCTCATATAACATTTGATTTCAAGAAGTGAGAGAGAGAATTTAACTCTGTGATTAGAAAATGAGTCTCGATGAGTTTATAGTAGGGATACCAAAATTGGTTTTTCCGATTTCGTTAACCGAAACTGGTTTTACCGAAAACTATTTTCCAAAAACCGGTTTTCCGAAAAGTCTTAGGAAAGGTTTTCGGTTTTAGAAAGGTTTTAGACCCTCGAAAACCGGTTTTCGGTTTTTAATAATATAAACATTTTTTGGAGCTAGTCTTTACTGTTTCTAATTGTTGAGATAAGAATTAATTGTGCGGTGATCCCTTATTCCCAAGTTTACATTTTATTTTATTTTTGATTATTATATGAGCAAACTTTGTACAATTTGCGATAAATCCGATTTTAAAAACCGATTTTTTCAAAAGATCAAATACCTATTTATTTCCTACAATTTTCCAAATCTCGATTAATCTGATACGGGTTTCGTATAATCTTCCAAAATCCGATTAATCGAAAACCAGTTTTATCACAATTTGAAAAATCCGAGAATCGGAAAACCGTTTTTTTTAAACTTTCGAAGGAGAAAATTTTCACTCCTCCGCTCGCCCGCTTGAGAAAAAAACAGGCCGCTACTGTGAAGTTTGCCCTAAAATATTTTACCTCCATGTGCCCATTCAACGGAAAGAAAATTACCACGTCATTTCTAATTTTTAGCTTGATTTTTTAGTACAAGTCACTAAGCTTATCTCGTGTAACTTGAAAAAAGGTTCCATTGTTAGTCGATCTAGTACCCATGAACGTTTTTATGATCCGTTGAACTAAACTAAAGTGTTCATTCCATCCCTGTCACACTTTTGAAATTCGCTATTTCCTTTTCCATTTTTTTATGAAAAATTTTTGTCGTTTTCGCCCTTTCTGGATTTTCCCTGTGGATATCTTTTGCAAGTAGTAACAAATGGATTGGTGGTGTCTATCCAAAATTGCACGAGGAATCCAATGCACTCATCAGATTTGGATTCTCTTCAGCGGTTTTGAATATGGTTCCGAATAGATATCTGGTGGTAACTTGATTAACATTGAATCTGTTATCTGATCTGATATCTGGTCAATGTTAACCAAGTTACCCTCAGATATCTGTTCGGAACCATTGTTTTGAAGCTAAGAGCTACTTACACTTCACCTGGACATGATATGTATGTAATTACATTTACGACCCATTTTGAACGAATATACAGGGTCGTAATGACTAGATATTTTACACTAGTTTTGAAAAGGCCGAACTCAATACGTGCTCCAGGCCGTCCCAATCCAAGGAACGCCTCTGACTAAATGCACTTTAGAATGCAGAAGACCTGGCAGCAAAATTGTGCTGAAGCCCAACTAATTTCGTACCAAGCGTGGCAACCATGTATTTACTTATTTTGCTGATTGTACACGCACATGCATAAGCATACATGCTGCACTAACAAATTCTACCACCGAAGTATAACCGACCGGGACGGTGGTAGTGCACCACCGCTCAGTGTCAACTGAGCCCACAGTTCGACTCACACAGACACACACCGGAATATACCGCGCGTCCACACGGTCACGGGGTTTATCGAATTTACGTAGAAATAAGGGCGATTTCTGAAGTCCCCATCTCAAACTACATACAGATGTAGACCGCTAGACAAGTTTTACCGCTGACTTCATCATCGTGGCGCTGTGACCTTGTCACATACAAGGCCCGTCTTCGAGCTTGCATACGTCCAACCCAAAAATTAGAAACAGGAAGGTGAAGTCTACATCTCGAAATAAGAATCTTTCGTTCTAAAGTCATAGTGGATACAGACAGACGGAAAGACAGACAAGACATTTCCATGAAGGGGTTGCATCCCTTAATAACAGAGGAATAAGTACATACATATTCCTTTTTTTAATTTGGCTAACCCGAAGTGCAACCTACCAGAAGAATGTGTTCCTTGCCACGGTGTCAGTCCACCGCCAATAACAGGAAGGGAGTAAATGGCCTCTAGCATACCCAGCAGGAAAAGCAGGATTGGTATGTCGGCAGTCCAGCTCTGCAAAATTATAACTATAAAATTGTTCAAAAGTTAAAATTGCGTTGTTGTTGTCATTGTGATGACGAAAGCGTGGTAAACATAGTATGAAGGTAGGCTGCAAATATCTAAATACGACGAACAAGGGAAGATTCCCGACAGCTACAGTCCAGGGTACCCTTAAAAATCTAAAAGGTCCCTATATCAAGGATTCATTCATGTTTACGTGTAAACATGAATATCTTCGGCGTCGTTCCGTGGATATCTGAATATTGAAAAGGCAGAGTTTTTGGGAATATGGGTATTTGGATTTTGGAAGGCGAGATTTTGGCCCGGATATTAACTAATAACGATACGGGTATTTGTAGGTTTTCTCCGATACCTGCCCAGCCTTAACTATATACTTAATCGTAAATAATGTCAAAAATAATTACACCTTATCAAGAATAAGTTCTCTTACCTACATGGCCTGGACACGCCCGTACCACCCAATTGTTATACCGGACTCCGCCAGCCGTATTGTCGCTGGTGTACAGCCCGGTAGACGAAACTGCTGTTCTTAATACGGTGTCATATAAGATGGTCATCAGGTTTATTGGATCACCAGCCCTATTGGCGGCTGGAATTGGGTAGAACAAGAACCGGCCATCGTGTAACTCACCGCAGTCAGGTTGTTGGAAATTTTCTGGGAAGAAAAATAATCGGTTAGTGAAAGTGCGAAATTTGTAGAAAATTCTCGCCTTACCGTTAAAGGGAATGGTTTTGTTATCGACCATAGCCGCCACGGTGGTGCTGGCGGCGAGGAATATGGCGAAGATTGTACTGGTGGGTATAATCATTGTGTTAGTATGTCTTGAACCTTGGCTGTGGTTTAATAGTATCGGTGGCCCCGTATTTATATGAAAAACTTATCAAGCTCAAAATTGATATCAATCACAAATTCAGAGAAAAGCAATTAATCATGTTTTGCAATTATAATCGATCATGCTTGTTTTTCCCAGGGTGAGACAAAACCTGAAAAAGTAAATATGTCAGCATGTCAAATGCCAGAGACCTTATCGAAACAGTCCACAGTTTAAACTATGTTAATTTACGGACTTGGAGTGCGATGTCAGGTATGAATTTAGAGAATAAAGTCGTTCAGATAAAGGCTGGCTTATCAGTTGCAATTAACCGAAAATTGGACTTGCATCAATACAAGTGTCGTGTATGATTGAGCAAGAAATAATAATGCCAGATCGATCGACAGAAAATTCATTGAAATTTAAGCAATTTTATCCTATCTGTCAATCTAATGATGGTCAATTAATTAATTTACCGTGATAACCTGAATGCCAGAGATTATGCACTTGTGACAAGACGATCCCTGCAAATTCAATGAATTTTTGAGCTTATCAAGACATAAATGACTCGAGTATTTAACATTTGTTGTGAAGCATAAAATCCTTACATACGTACATACCTAACAATGGAGGTCTCCCAACGTATGCTCACAGATTTGGACCAAACCGGTGTCAATCGATCACAAATATAATTTATATGAAATTTGCAAATGGAACTATCTGCCAATGCGCAGGTTTGACGGAGATATTTGCATTAAAAGGGGGGAAAATGCGCAGCAAATTTGGAAAAGAAAAATTTTCCAGCCGGAAAATATGGCACTCGGCTTTTCCATCCATCCGTTCATTCCACCGAGCCAACCAATTTGGTAAATTTGGTAATGCCTGGAGGCAGCAGGAGCAGCGGCGGACATGTGAGGTCATATCATCCTACACTTTACGATCGCCTTCGCTGTATTGCACAAGACGAAACTGTAATATATTAAATGCACTTATTTAACTTGTCGTCGCGAAGAATTGATATTTTATCACGAAGAACATTGGAAGATCAGGAGATCAATTGGGTTCGACGTCTGTAAAATATTTACCCGACCGACTCACTTTCATTTCGCTGAAGCAAACTCAAAGAAAGTGGTATCTCGTCTCGTTATTTACTTGCAGAGGTACTTTGGCGTACTACTCATATTTGCCAAGCTTCTCCAATTTCGTTTTACATTTTCAGCCAGCCAGGTTCGCCAAAAGTAGCTCAGCACCTATCTAATTTTGTTTGGCTTTGGTTTTAGAACCAACTTTGAAAAGGGAGAGCATTGCGCTTCAAGACGGGTGCGTGATATGTATGAGAGGAGATATAAAGCCAGTAAATCATATATCCGAGCATGGTAGCTGTTTTGAACAAGCTTGGTCTGAGGTAAGTTAATTAAACCGAAATTCGATTAACCGGGGAAGACTAAACTATGAGGATATACAGGTCGCTCCGAAAATACCCAAGTACCACGAAACTGCAGAGCCGCCGGTACACACAGATTCTCCTTTACTTCTAAAATAACTTCCTGTGAAGCGATTTCCACCCAGTGCGTGGCAGAAGGGAGGGAGTCGCTGCAAGGTCATCCGGGAAATTTTCCATTTTCCAGCGACGTAATATGCAAAGTGATTTCGTGGAAATGTGAGCAACTTTTTCACCTGTCATAACCACAAAGGTATTAATACGGGTTAGGAAAAAAGTAGTTTAGGGAACGTCCATAAATTACGACACAAATAACATATTTTTATACCACCTAACCACCCACGGCTTCCCTATTCTATTCATGTTAAGTTGAACACGAGCAAGATAGACGACCCAAAATCGGCCACCCTTCTTATCTATTTTTGACGTAATATGTGAACGTTCCCTTGAGCAGAAAAACTAACTCAATGAATTTTAGGGAAACCAATTTAACCCAGGCAAATAAATTTTTTCTTGGTTGGGAGTTCACTATAATACATCCCGGAGGGGGACAAACATATATTACGTCAGCAAAAAAACTCCAAATTTCATGTCCCCCAAACAATCCCTATCCCATCGTACTCATATTGTTCAAGTTTTAAAAAGACGACCCGATACCACTCACCCACTTTTTTTATGACGTAATATATGAACGTTCCGAAACATGAAAGAATACGAATACATCAAAATCAACTTGGCCAATTTTAAGGAATATTTGAATACCTCGTATTATGATGACAGTAGCGATCCATGCAATTTTTTTCATGAGTTAAGATGAATATTTTTCGGGAAACTATGGTCAAAAATGAATAAATGAGGTTTTTCATATTATAAAATATTTTTTCCATTAGTAATTCAAGATCTGTATCAAATTTTATGACGAATAAACAAGTTTATATTGTATTAACCAATCCAAAAAATATTTATTTAACCATTGAATATGTACTTAAATATTTAATCAAACCACAATGTCTCACATTATTTCAATATTTGTGCATTCCGTCAAATTTTATAATTTTGATGACCACTCATCTCTTCACTCTTCAACTCATCCACAAATCTTCTCACCACCACGACAAAGTAGATCTGCATTGCGAGGAAAGATCCGAATATGACGAGTGTGCAAAATCCCACGAGGGGCAGGCCATTCAGTGTCATTGTCCCAAAAGTGACAACAGACGCAGTCATCCCGACCAAGATTAAAACGTAGCTCCAGATCAACCACGGCTTGATTAGGCGGTGATTACGCTGAAAATACGAATTAAAACTTGAAAAATAAGTTGCCAAGTTTGGACTGTGGAAACTTAAAAAACTATACCATTAAAAATAACGTTACTATTTTGAAAAGTAAATGCATTAAATATTAAGGAAAACTATACTAAATCCAGAGTCAACTTTACCAACGTTTCCCTGGATTTCGTACAGTTTACTTAAATACAGATTTCAGACTATATTAACTTTCCGAAAGGGCTACACGATTTTTAAGGGGGCAAAGGGACCGTCGATACATACATGTTCACATTCATTCATTTATTCATTCGGTGAATGAATAAATTCTTCATTCAATATTCAAAATTTGAATGAATATTGAATGAATATTTTATTCTGATTTTTGAATAAATGAATATTGAGTGAATATCTATTCAATTCGTGTGAATGAAAAATGAATGAATATTTTTTTCATCCTTAATTTTTAACTCAATGCTTAATACATAGGGAAAGGTGAGAAATTCATTGAATAAGGTGAGTTTTGAATAACATGACTAATGAAGGAATGGTGAATAATTAATGAATATTTTTTTCAAGTCTTTGAAGGAGTGAACTTTGAATGAATAAATGTTTTGAAGATATATTCGTCCATATATTGTGTCATGAAAAATAGATCTTTAAGTCCGATTAGGCAACTTTTGGTCGAAAGCGAAAATTTGGTGAAAAGCAGTTGTTTGAAAGCAGTTACATTTATCTTGACATAACAAATGGACGTCCCCAAACTAGATATTTACATACCTTCCGATAACCGTGCAACATAACACAAGTAAAGATTAATGACACCCCTGCCGCGATAATCCGAATGGAATGTTGCGCCATTTGTACATTAAATACGATGTTGGTCTTATCATGATGGCTTATCAGGGGGTGCCCAGCGTCAGTTGTATCGTTACCTATTCAACAAAAAAATCAAGATTTTTTAAAATTATCTTCTCGCAAAAATGTGAGTATTTCTTAATTAAATTTGACACACAAGGAACGTCCATGAATTACGTCGTCAAAAAAATCCTAATTTTTACACCACCCACCCCCTTGTTCCCTATCCTACCCATGTTAAGCGTAACGCGAGTAGGATAGACGACCCAAAACCATACAGTCATCTTTTTTGTAGCGTAATATATGCACGTTCCCATATTTTCTTTACTGTTTGAATCTTCAATCAGGTCAGACGTGTAGTTACCTAGGGAATAATTCAAATATTTGTACCCTCACGAAAACAACGTGAACATACATAATTTAAGAAAATTCGATTTAAACTATTGTTCACTCTTAAAAATAGCGTTCCCATTTTGAAAACTGAAACTGTAAATTTGAAATTAAGTAAACTGTACAAAATCCAGAGTAAAGTTTACTCAAATTCACGCTACTCGAATTAAGTGTAGTTTCCTAAATACGGAATTCAGAGTGAATTCAGAGTGCGGAATTCCCATATTTACTCTGGAAATGGACACATAATTTTTAAGAGTGTGCATTTTCCTTACTGTTTGAATCGTTAATCAGATCAGATGTATAATTGCCTAGTACATAAACCATTCAAATGTTATTACCCTCAATATTATTAACCAAATTTGATTTAAATTACATATTCTACATATTTTCCTTACTGTTCGAATTGTCCAGTAGGTCAATGATCTTGCTCGAATTTGCCAGAATGGATAGAGCGTAGAGTGCCTGAAATTTTAAGAAATTAATATTATTCCCCATAAAATCACAATTCCTCTCAAATTGATGGTGCACACTGCAAATAAAAATGTGTTAAATTTTCTCACGGTTGGATAAAAAAGAGGATGACACAACCAAAAAGGTAAAATTTGACAAACGTTGCGCAAAATTTGTCCAAAGCTGGGTAAATTTTACTCATTTTTATTTAGGATACACCCACTTTCGTTCGAAAACATCACCCATTGATTTTGTTATACATACAAAATGTCAAGCTACAATGGAAAATTTTTCGATGGAAAAAATTCGTAAATCTCCATTAGTTACCGAAATTTTGTCTCTAAACTTCAACATTTTAAGAATTTCGTCATCAGTGTTCCATCAGCTTTCATAATAATTCTTAAGAATCTCAATCCAAAATCTTGTAGCTAATGCAGAATTAGGGGTTTTCCCATTGAAAAATTTTCCATTGTGGCGTGACTTTTTCACGCCACATGAAAATTAATATCTCGTATTGTTTTTATTAGCTACATAAATAAATATAAATTATTTCTAGTAATTCCCATTAATTAATTAGTAATTAAGTAAATAATTAACTCGGCCTTTCAATGAAAATGGGTGTGAACTCGTGGAAACTCTTTCACCAAAAGATTTTGATTTTGCACATAATTCGTGAAACAGAAATATTTACGTTATACTTACGATATAGAAAATTCCAATGGCAAGTGTCCCCTTTCCCGCAGAACAGCATCCGCAACAACACGTTCCCGACATTTTATTTTTCAAACTTAGCAAGCAGCTAAGTAATTCTACAAAAAATTTCAATTTAGCACTTCGTGTCTCCTTTGACTCGTTTGCTTCAACTGACGGGGTGCTTTTATATTTAAAGGGGCTGAGCAACTGGTAAAAGGAAATCTGCGAACTATTTTACACCCCTACTAACTGGGTTTCAGTTCATGACCAAAATGCATATGAACACCACAGGTTTATCTGACACACACACGAAAAGCAGGGATCGTAAAATGGGTAAGTACGCATTTCTTTGGAAGAGAGGCATTCATATATTTAATTGCAGATCGCAGTATTTCTGTCGTAGCGAAGATATGAGATGGGTACATATATCTATCTATGCATTGCATTATATGTGCAGATGTATGTGGAAAACTGGTATTCTTGTCGATTTCGTGGAAATGTAGGCAACCTTTTGGTCTTCTTTCTGGTATATACATTCACCGATCAAAATTCTAAGAATCTCGTCCACGTGGAGTTGGATAATAATAAATTTAATATATGTATAAGAAGAGAGAGAATAATAGGATTTCTTTGCAGAAAACCAGAAGGTTTTCATCAGAAACTAACAATGGAGAGGTGTCAGGTGGTTATCGCCAATGTGGACCGGACTAATTTTAAATTGTTCAGGCCCAGAAATAAGCCCACCCGTATTTTTTCGTTTTCCTGAATGGGCATATTTACGCCCGTGGCGGAATTTTCAAAAAAAATTTCAGCCAAAATCCTGATTTTTAAAAACGCTGTAACTTTTCGAATTTTAGCCCGACTTCAAAAATTGAATACAATTTGTGTTCAGAATTACTTCCCTGAAAATATAAAAATTCATTTTCAAAAATTTTTTAATTTTCAAAAAATTATCGTTTTGTTCATTTCTAAAAACTCAGAAATGGCATGAAAATATTAAATTTAAAAAATTTTTGAAAATGAATTTTTATATTTTCAGGGAAGTAATTCTGAACAATTTAAAGTTAGTCCGGTCCATATTGGCGATAACCACCTGACACCTCTCCATTGTAAGATCCCAGGGGCTTTAGTGGGTTTTTACACATATGCACGTAATTATGAAACGCTATACGCTTGTAATGCTTGTTTTTATGAATGGTTAAAAAATGTATAGATTTTTAATCGAGAATTGCCGCTATGTATGTGTCCAGGGCTGAAAATCAGTACTCGTGCTGACGCTCATATGACACCATTAATAAACACTTCACTCAATCAATCAATTAATGACCTCAGTCCATGGTAACTAGGACCCGTTCATCTTTTAGGGTCAATCGGACCACCCCCATTTACATACATATGTGTTTTTGGTTTCGCTCATCTTTATTTTAACACTCGACGACCGCTTTCTGACCATTCTTCATCAGGTCGTGTTCTACCACAATAAATTGTGAATAACTATGAGTAATTATATAAGTTGGAAATTTATGTAATTATAATATGCATACATATGTATGACAGCTAAAAATTTTTATTTTATTTTACTGAGCCAATTCACATCAGCCTTCGTAAACTTGCAAAGATCAACTTATCAAAACCAAAATATCATGCTTGCTAACTTCGTTGTGTTTTGTATGTCAGTTCTTATACAAAATTACCTGCACGATTCGTAAGTTTCGGAAATCCTTAAGTCCACGTGGTTACAAAGTTACGAAAGCTAACGTAAATTGCTTCACTAATTTATAAGTCATTAATTTGTACATATATAGTTACATACAAGAAAAGTAATAAAAATAAATATGCACCCATTTTTTGATATGAAAAATGAAAATCAAGACAGCCATTTTACACTATAGTACATAATAAATATAAATACTACACACTTAAAAATAAACTAAGGATTGATTCATAAGTTGTGGCAATGTTTTAGAAATGGGTTTATTACAAAACGGGAAGTTGTAGTTTTACCAAATTTGCTAATAATTGTCACAAATGCGATTGTCAATATCACACAAACTCAATTAGACACCGGTTCATACTTTGAAACCAATTTCATGCAGGTTTTCCCAGGCATACTCTATCACTATTTTTCCTGACTTTCTCGCCATACCTTTCAAGATTTGACGCATGACGCGTCGAATTAAAGCAGGGTTTTCGATCCATTGGGTCGTCTTGAATATACTCTTATGCATTAGGCCCAAAACTATTCAAGATCTCTTACCTTGGGGACTTTGGAAGAGTTTTCCAATTTAGCCACAAAATTGATTTTTTCCTCCTTGAGGTAGTCGGTAACAATTCGACTATAGTAGCAAGTTGCTATATTCGGCAAAAATAAAACTGTATTTTCCCGATGGCCATTTATTACAGGGATTAATCGGCGTTTGTCCCATTCCAAAAAGTAAAGAGATGAGGGAGTGGTGTTATCCGTAATTAAGGGCTCCGAAATTGCTCCATTCTCGTCCAATGCTAACTAAATCGGTAATTTTTTGTGAATTTTGCTTTGAGAAATACCTTACATTCATGTTTGAAATCCCAATGACTTGTAGCAAGAAAAAAATTCTATCTGCAATCTTCCAGTGGCGTTATTTCAATGTACGCTTCGTCACGGCTAGCAAGTATTTTGGATTAAACTTTTTTGCAAATTTAGTTGCATCCCATTTTGGTTCTTAATTTTTCCTCTTTAATGTATTTTGAGGCATTAGTTTTTAAATGTTGTAATCCCCTATCATTCTGCTTTAAATCGGCGAAAAGTTTGTTCAGATATCTTTACCCGTTTGGCTGCTAGGTTCTCTAACGTAAGGAGCGTTCCCTGAAAACTATTGGCACTGCTTTGATGACTTTGGATGTGGCCTGCCACACCAGGTGATGAATAATTTTTTTGAACTCGGCTGATTTTGTTGCATCATACATTGAAATGTAACGGCAATTTGAGCGATTTAGAATATTTTCATTTTTGAGGTGGTCGTGCAACTTTTTCTCGTCCAATTTGGCAGCATTTTTGTAAAAGTGCACCAATAAATTTGCTTGGACTTGTTTTTCTTTTTGTCTAATGATGTTCTAGTTTAATTGCCAACCTTTTTAAACTAAAACCCTAACACTACATCGGTTGGACTATCATATGCAACAATTCATTCATAATAATTTGAGTCTCTGTTAAAGCTAGAGTACACCAAAAAACATTGCCACAACTTATGAATCAATCCTTAAATACAAAGTAAACTTTTATCTTGGTTAAAATTATACAGGTTAACTTTTGTCGAGTTTACATAAATACGTAGCTAATTTAAAATTTTACATACTTTTCAAAAAGGCAACCCTAAATATTTTTAAGAGTGTCTGTCTCATACTTGCCACTTTTCCTGTACACTTTTACAATCTCCTTTCAACTCAGCCACGAATCTCCTCACAACGACGACGAAATTAATCTGGATTGCTAAGAAAACACCGAGTTTGGCCATAATTAAAAATCCCACGAGGGGTAGTCCATCTCTCAGAGCTATTGTTACGAATATGTAAACATCTCCCATCGTGCCGAGCGTAATTGACACATAGCTCCAGAGCAACCACGGCGTGATCAAGCGGTAATTACGCTGTAAAGAAATGTGCTATCAAAATTTTGCTCGAATGACAAAAATCCAAGAAAAATTACCCCTGTGAAATTCTAACAAGTACATAAAGCATGCCATCCATTTCGGGATGTTTGTACCCCTACGCCCCCCCCCTCCCCCCGGTGTGACTTATTGGTACGCCCCATGTTATAATTAGCATGGGAAGGATAGGATGGCTTGACCATTATCCGCCCCCCCTTCTCTCAAAAAACATCACATGCTCTTCTAGAAAGTCCCCAATACACATGTCAAACTTCAGAATCTCACAAAGGGTACCATCCCGGCGGGATGATCCCGCCGAGATAAGTACGCAACTTACCATCCGATAACCGTGCACCATGACGCAACTCAAAATTAAGGACACGACTCCCGGGATAATTAGAACTAAATGCTGCGCGAGTTGTTCCTTGGCGGAAGAAGCGGTGTCACCTTGCGGACTGTTTAGGGCGGGCTGGGCTACGAACACGAAAAATATTCTTATCTTCTCGTGCCGAATCGGATTTCTTTTTATTAACGTAGGACTGGATGACTAACGAATGTACCGCCAAAATCAACATATTTTACACATTTCCCCGTTCTGGGAATTTATTTTGCAATTCTGGACAAAAAAAATTGCAGAGCAGGTGTTTCCCTATTTGTTAAAATTATACCCTCCAAATTCTTAAAGTTTTTGAATGTGGAATTTTAAGAAACCTTCTGAAAAATGGGAACTCATCGAAACTGCTTTAAAAAACTCATCGTCTTTCCAGTAATCAAAACTTCAAATTTGTCGTACAGAATTTTAAAATAAATTCCCACAGCGGTGAAATTTTTAAAAATTTATTGATTTTGATGATGAGTCATCGACACCTATCTTAATAATTTGACTTCCTATTCCACATATTTCCCTTACCGTTTGAATAATAAATTGTGCCGATCAGGGAAATAATCTTGGTACCGTTTTCTACTATGGAGTGAAAATGTACTATCTGAAATTATTCAATTATTTGAAATCAATTTCACCCCTCCATACATACAATTTTAAATCGTAATTGCTTCCAAATTTAATTAGAGTATGTGTATGTATCAATACTTACGATATAGAAAATTCCAATGGCTAAAGTCCCCTTCCCCAGGGGACACCATCCACAGCAACACGTGCCCGACATTTTATCACATTAAGGGAAAAATTCCCAAGAAAATATTTCAGGTAAAACTGAAAATTAAGAAATTAAAGTTAAAATTAAGAAACTTATTACTCTCATTTTTCGTGCCTTCTATGGTTAAGCATACCAGCGGACTATTAAAAACATTTAAATCTCTTTACGATTTATTTATTGTACCTGACAATCTTCAATCAGCAGAGTGGATGTAAAATATATCAACAAAATACAAACTACACTACGTATCAAGATTATACTCACAATGGAGAGGTGTCAGGTGGTTATCGCCAATGTGGACGGGACTAATTTTAAATTGTTCAGGCCCAGAAATAAGCCCACCCGTATTTTTTGGTTTTCCTGAATGGGCATATTTACGCCCGTGGCGGAATTTTCAAAACAAATTTCAGCCAAAATCCTAATTTTTAAAAACGCTGTAACTTTTCGAATTTTTGCCCGATTTCAAAAATTGAATACAATTTGTGTTCAGAATTACTTCCCTGAAAATATAAAAATTCATTTTCAAAAATTTTTTAATTTTCCAAAAATTATCGTTTTTTTCATTTCTAAAAACTCAGAAATGGCATGAAAATATTAAAGTCGAAAAATTTTTGAAATTGAATTTTTATATTTTCAGGGAAGTAATTCTGAACACAAATTGTATTCAATTTTTGAAATCGGGCTAAAATTCGAAAAGTTACAGCGTTTTTAAAAATTAGGATTTTGGCTGAAATTTATTTTGAAAATTCCGCCACGGGCGTAAATATGCCCATTCAGGAAAACGAAAAAATACGGGTGGGCTTATTTCTGGGCCTGAACAATTTAAAATTAGTCCCGTCCACATTGGCGATAACCACCTGACACCTCCTCATTGTCAGTGGGCAAGGATCACAAAATATGTAAGTAGTGGATGGAGAATGGATTTACGAGTATTTCCATATCTTTTTGCATATGCATGTACATGACATACTGCTCCACACAAAAGTCGTATTCTTGTCAATGCAAAGCGATTTCATGGAAATACATGTAAGCCAATTTTTTGCTCTGTCCTTATGTACTTAAGTTTTTGATACTTTTATATCCAGTCCAACAATCAGATCAATGTGGAGATGCAGCATACTATTAACCAAGTGAAGATATGTACGGGATGAAAGAGTACGAGAATCCTGTAATACAACAAACGTGTTATTTTCTTGCCGTATGAATCTATGTATGAACAAGCTTATGCACAGTTCCTGATTTTAGTATCGTGGCACTCTCAGGATCAGTTGAACTATTTATGTAGGAAAGTATTTACTTATTGAGCTGAAGTTTTGTCGTAAATGTCTTTATTTATGGTATCTCTATTTTCTCTGGGTCGATTACCCATCTTAAGATTAGGACACTCTCAATAATTTTATGAGCATATGACTGGATTGTATCAATGCCGTACATTTGTGTACATACATGAACACACATGTAGTATCGTTGTATCCGTACAATCTAAGAAATTTTATTACCACTCGGTATACATACATGACCCGCATTTATAATCCACCCCCACTGTACACTTTAGAAACATTGTAGATTCATGACGGTTTTGATTACTTGGTATTTTATTTGGTACTACTAATTATTAACCCGTTAGGGACCAACTACACATATTTGTGTAGTTTTTTGCTTTCCCTTGGGGACCAAGTACACAAATATGTGTACTTTTTTGCTTTCCGTTAAGGACCAAGTACACACATTTGTGTACTATTTTGTAGTTATGTTGGGGCCCAACTACACATATTTGTGTAGTTTTTTTTCTTTCCGTAGAGGACCAAGTACACATATTTGTGTACTATTTCCCCGTTACGTTGGGGACCAACTACACACATTTGTGTACTGCGGAAAAATTTTCAAGACCAAATACACACATGCATACAAGTCAAAATTTTATTTTACAAAATTTTAACACGAACCATTTATTTATGCACATTACCAAAAACTATATATCTGCAAAAACTACAACTGTAGTTCGCTGCAATGCAGTGTAAGACTAATTTTAAATTGTTCACGCTCAGAAATAAGCGTATTTTGGAGTTTTCCAGAATAGACATGTTTTCGCCCGTGGCGGAATTTAAAATAAACTTAATTTTTAAAGAAGCAAAAAACGATAATTTTTTGAAAATTAAAAGTTTTTTTAAAATTGATTTTTTATCCCGAGTCAGGGCTTATGTACCCGTCATGTCCGTCTGTCTGTCTGTCTGGTTTGCGATAACTGCCGTAAAACTAATCCTATCGGCTTGAAATTTTGCACACATATAGTATGCGTCAAATGAGGAGTTGAGTTCGAAGATGGGTGAAATAGGTCAAGTGGTTGACCGGTGGGGGTCATCGGAGTGGGTGGGGTATTACGCACCAAAATTTCAAAATTGTGTTAGAAAGCTGAAATTTGGCATAGAGGTTGCTAATGGTTTATAATGAAGGAATACAAAGTAAAATTTCAAAAATTTTCGTCTGGAGGGACCCGAGGGGGTGACCCATACCGATTTTTAAAATTCATCAAATCGAGCTGAAGTTTGGTAGAAAAGTTGGTAATAGAAGAATATTAATTAAAATAGGAACAATTTTCCCATAGAGAGACCCTATTGGGTAACCCATACTTTTTTTTGTAATCTTCGGATCCTGAAATTTGTTACACAGGATGGTAATTGTTACTAATAGAAGAATATGAATTTAATTTGGAAAAATCAAATTTAATTTTTTAATTTATTGATATGTGTAAAAACCAAGCTATCACCTACCCGGAGTATAGTGTCTTTACGTTATATTTAATTGTGCTTTGCTCGTTGGAATTAAGAAAGTGACTGAGTGAATTATACGATTATTTTATCTACTTAAACTAGATTTTATTTAAATCAATTAAACGATGGTCAACACAATTCAGAGCTCTGCAACAACACGAGTTGATTGATGACTTACTTTAATTATAAATTGATCGTGCAACAAAAAAGAACTAACAATTCTAAACTTGATTGCCTGCCACGACGACTAAATCCAAAATGTCTGACTCTGACAACGACTAAAACTCGACTGTGTAGAATTCTTCTACCTACTTACTTACTACGACTTATAACAAAGAACGACGCGCACTCAAAATCCCACTCTGACGTCACCATGGCAACCACCACCACGTCACGGGGCAATCTTACACGCATATTCAACAATTTACAAAAATACATAAAACAATTTCATAAATACATCATTTTACATTTAACAATATGCATTTGCGATAAAATTTCATGCAAAAAGTCGGATTGAGTGATAAGCACAACTTGGCCTGACTCGGGCTATATCAAGTCTGCACTGTAGGTTTTATATTTTCAGGGTAGTAATTCTGAGCAAAAATTGTGTTTAATTTTTGAAATCGGATTAAAATTCGAAAGGTTACAGCGTTTTAAAAATCCTGACTTTGGCGGATTTTTTAAATTCCACCACGGGCGAAAACATGTCCATTTTAGAAAACGAAAAAATACGGGTCCGCTTATTTCTGAGCATGAACTAACTAACTCCGGTCAAGATCAGTGAAAACCACTTGGACCTTGCTAAACTATAAAAATGTATGAATCAATAACTTAATATTATTGTAATGAACTGCAGATAATTTTTACTAATATGCATAAATAAATGCTTAATGTTAAATAAAATCATCAAAAGTTGCCGAAATAAATTCGGTCCTTTATGGTTTGCACACCCACTGTGAAATCGGTGACGTAACTACGCTTACTTTAAAATCATTTTGGTGAAGTAGCTACACTATTGGTAAAATTAAATTGGTTATGTAGCAACAACTAACTGATAAAATTCTGGTCCCCAAAGGAAAGCAAATTTCAATTATTTCGGTCACAAAGGGGTTAAACAACACAATATATAGATAAATATGTACATACATATCTATAGAAAAGTATTTTTCGTCCAATAAAAAACAGACAAAAAACTGAGACCTTGTCCAGAGTTTATTTATATGACACAAAAATAGTTACATTATTTCGAACAATTTAAGGACTTTCGTCCCTATTTTTTAAAGAACAGTAAATATTTGGTCTGCATTAATTTATTAATTAAAAAAGTATGTAAGAAAAATGAAATATTGGTGAATTGTGGCACGATTGTAAACAGTATAAAACTTGGATACGAACTTCAAGGGAGCATCCATAAATTATGTCACTCAAAATGGCAGATTTTTTAAACCCTCACCCCCGCCACCCTCTCTAACGTGCTACACCCCGTTTTACCATGTCCCCCAAGTCGCAGAACTTTTACCCTCACACTGCTTACCTCAGCCGTTACATAATCTATGAACTTCCCCTTAAATATTTTCTTGTTCTCCAGGTTTACTCTCCTCCTCCGTTTTCAACTCGTCAACGAATCTCTTCACCACCAGGAGAAAATACATGTTCAACACGGAGATAACTAAGCACATGGGGAGTACCCAAGGCCCCACGACGATATTTGCATTGGTCATCACGACCACGGCTTGGACCACAGCGATGACCACGAAGACGGAAAGAAACCCGTATGTCCAGAGCAGGGCGTCACGAAGCGGAGATTACGCTGGAAAAATTAAATCACACTAAATACTCTTTCATACATGTGTAGATAACCACACTTAAAAATTTCGCAAAATAATTCCCCTTTCAGTTTATAATGAAACTTTTTTAAAGCGGCACGTGGGTTAAGGTGGCTAAAAAATCCAGGTGTGGCTTCAAAAAAGGTTCTATTGTTTAAGTATTTACTTTTCAAGATGGTAACACTAATTTTAAGAGTGTGGACGCTGAATACTTAGATTTCATTAAATTTATTCAAGGTTGAAAAAAATTTAAGCAGCAACAACTGGTTGTGGAAAAAATTTACCCTATCAAATTTCAAATTTATCCAACGTTGTCCAAAGATTGTTGGTCAAATTTGAGGAAATTTGACATAACCAGGCGTGACAGCTCAAATTTTACACAAAATTATTTAGAGTGCAGATAGTAAAGCACGAGCAAGAAATGACTTACTGATCGATATCCGTGCACCAAAAGACAGCTCAGGACCACGTATAAGAGCTGCATGGATACAAATACGAAACCATACGTGATGTAGGCAGTTACTGGAAATTATAATTCAATTTCGAACTGTCAATTAAACGAAGCGAAGAGTTTTTTAGAATTTAGATTAAATAGCTACATACGATTCTCCAGAATTATTTGATCCTCGAGTTTGTCGGCATGATTTATCAGTCTGTTTAACCGCATACAATTTTCAATGAGGCAGGCCGAGTACAAAATCTGTAATTAAATAGATGAGTAAATAAATTGAAATTAATCTAAAATTAAATATTTAAATCTGTTCAATTAAGTAAATTAATTATGAAAATTTAATAAACTATGACAATTTAATTAACTAATTACAATTAAATAATGAAAATTATTAAATAATTAAACAAATCTATTCAATTAATTATTTTTAAGAGTGTATGATTTTAGCTAAGAATTATTCTTACAAAAGTGCAATTTCAACATGCAATTTTAGAAACTAACACGTCTCAGTTTTCTGAATTTTACAAAAAATGTTAAAATTATGTGCTTTTAAATGTTCTTTACGTCAAAATTACGCACATGTTTGAATGTCGCCCTTGTGCAAATTTTGAATTAAAAATATGTTTTTAAAAATTTGATCACTAAATATTTCATTTCCTTACCGTGTTCACAATACCGATGAGAAGTGTTCCCCTTCCAACCGGGCAACATCCACAACAGCAAGTTTTCGACATTTGGAATTACATATTTACATGTGCCAGATATTAATATTACGCAGAAAACGTTATCCCTACATATTCAAATATGCACATTCGTGCAATATAACGCAATACATATTTTGCACGTTATTACATATGTAAATGTATTTAATAACGTAACCTTGACAAATATTGTGCAGAAAACTTTATCACTGTGCGAATACGTATGTATTTACATCTTTATGCACGTGCAAAAAATTGCTTGCCTGAGGATGAGTTAAGTAGCCCTCGTTGTTTACGAAGCAAAGATTAACTGGCAAAAGTTACTTGATGCGAGTCCATCCGTATGGACGATGCAGTATTACATAAACTGGTTTTTTACGTGGTTTATTCTGATATATAAATCGTGTAAGGGGTAGAAGCATCTATGTAAGAACAACACGTTAAATCCTCCGGCACTACATAAGGAAAGGTAAAGTGAGCAAAGAGCGATATATTTATGCATGGACACATTTCCTAAATATTTGTATATGTAAACAGCCTGTATTTTACTTACGATTGGATGAATCGTATCCATATTATTACAGGTGCGCTTCTCTCCTACAATAAGCAGTCTGATTTTAATATTTAATTAAGCAAACGATACAAAATTCAGAGCAAACTTTACTCTTTATCAGCTTAATTATTAAATACTCCAGGTTTGGATTTAATGTGTACAATTTGAATAAAAATTTTATGAAAATGTTACATTCATGCAGGATGACGACTTTGTGGGATACAAATCTTTAATTTCACTCGAATGTTGTAGTCCGATTCAATATCTTTCAGTGCAAATTTCTAAGATGACGTCAACTTCATGAGTTTGCATACTATAATGAAAAGTTGATTTTTTTAATTCGTCATTTTTGTAAGGTATGTATACTTGACAAAAATGTTGGACATTTATGACTTTAATTCAAAATTAATATTTCCTAATACAAAAATATTTCTATACTTTTGAATTAGGATTAAAGTAATAAATGCAAATCATGGTACCAAATTATTACGAAAATTTCTTTTTATTGAATACTACATACTGTGCCCTGTAACATATTTAAATACCCGGATGAAATAAACGTCGGAAAATACGAGGTTTACTTACGTATAGTGTGCTTAAACAGTTTTCCAAACTACTAAATACATTGTAGGATCAGTTTAGAAAAAGAAAGTAAGTTTTTTTTATAAAACAAATTGTCCTTGCAAACTTGTGAGTATTAGATAAATATGTAAACCCGGTGAAAATCTAAGTCTTGAGTCTTGTCATTTATTACAACTCTGTGCGGTTGCAAATTTCTGGAAATTTTGTCATGTTACAAGTTTCTGAAGAAATGGGGGTGGATTTAAAATCCGGCGAATCCTGCCCCACCGCTGGCGCTGCTGCGGCTCCCTCGTCGTGGACTATCCCCGCCAAATCCTCCCCCTGAATTAATCAAACAAATTTTAAGCCACGCCAATATTTTACTCTTTACAATAAAAGAATATCGTCAAAACTTATTAATAAAAGTGGATTTTCTGATGGATGGGTATTCACGTCAACTTTGTAAACGTATTTAGCTTGGCCTCATTTCTTCTCAACTTTGGAAAGAGTTGCGATGCGAGAACTGATCAGAATTCTGAATTTTTGAAATGGAAAATGAGACATTTAAAAAGACAACTATTTCCATATTATTGTCGTAAATTACTTGTCATAAATTCGTCCTTTAGTAAATTTTCATTTTACTTTAGGTAATTTCATTTAAAACAAGTCGTCCACGACACGGAGTTTGCAAACACCGCAAATTAGTGAAGATGTTTTGCGAAATGACATTTTTGCGTGACGTGAATTCTCAAAATGTAACAGATTTTATGATCGGATGACCGATTTTGTTTGTATGCAAGTTTCTTTCCATTATCCATTTTAAACCGAAATTCTCTTACCACCACCGCCACCACCTCCGTGACCGGGATGACCTGGTGGGTGGGGATTATGCCCTCCTCCTCCTCCCCCACCACCATCTCCCCCACTGCTCTCTCCACCACCAAAGTCTGCCCCGAAGTCGCCGCCATCATCATCTCCGCCAAAATCTCCCCCACCGCCGCCGCCCCCACTGTCATCCCCACCCCCGCCAAAGTCCCCAAATCCACCGTCATCCCCGTCATCCCCTCCGCCAAATTGGGGCCGTCCAAGGACCACCGTCACACCCACGCATAACTGCAAAAATAAATTAAGTTCCAAGTTCATATTTTTTCGATTAAAGTCCAAATATATTTTTTAATGTGACTATGAATTTTTATCTTGAATTTGAAATTTTTAGACATAAAGAGGAGATAAAAAATTTGTAACTTAATATATATTTCTTTGAATTTGAAGCTCAAACAAAAATATTTTACCACGATTATGAAATTGCGACATTTAAATTGAAATTTTCACTTACACTGATTATAAGATAAATAAGTGAACTTGTATTTTGAAGTACAAACTAATTTTCGTGGTTCAATTAAATTTTAAACGTAAAATTAAAATTGAGAATTATACTTTTAATTTGTACAATACTAGTTTAATGCAAATTTTTGCAAACTTGCTCAGATCGCTGGTTAATCTTGAAATTTTTTTGCATAATTACCAAACTACAGACTTTCCAAGTTGCCAAAATGATTCCGTAAATTCCTTCAATACTTAAAAACCTTAAATGAATAATTTCCACTAAATTCTTCTTACCAGAAAAATCACCACGGCTCTCATTTTCCAATAAATAATCCACTCTGACTCTTCAAAAAGTTTAATCTGATCAGGAAACCCGTCTTTATATAGGGATTTATAAATCGCCTTTAGATTTTTAGGTCACCCATCTCACCCTCACAATCCATACGCCACCATTCATCCTTCCCTAAATATTATCCCATTAAACCAAAACTTCGCCAATTATGTACATATCTATCGACTCCAAAACCGTCTCTGTTCGTTCAATTGATTTGCATTGCATAACAATGAATCGAATTTATTTAATCGATCATTGTTGCCTGTGCATTCTCGATGAAAATAGAGATTGAATTGTGCTCGCGTTCTACTTGTGCCACATCCGTGACTCGGCAATGTCTCATTTACATACGCTTTTTTATGCAATCATCCGTCTCATGATCACATCGATACATAATCTCGCAGGGACTGACAGGAAGGATGTGTTTAAATTTATTCAGACTAAGGAATATTCAGCTCCAATCTGAGCATACCTGTTCAAAAATTTAGTCTTCATTCAAAAGTCAATTATCCTTATATCTGACTTAAGGTTTTCTTAACATTCAATTATTTTATTTCAAATTCATTTCATTTCACTTCATCGGAATTCATTTCTTACTTCGCCACATGTATTAAACATACCGTGAAAAATGAAATGAGTGAATAATCCCTTCATTCAACGTCATTCAACTGAAATAACGGAATCTTTCAGTCATTTTCATTTAAATGGCAGGAAATTCATTTTCATTCACTATGACTCACCATCATAATAATTAAAATTAATGAATGTGAACAGGTATGAACCTGAGATAAAAAATGGGTAGTTTTACAAAAACTATGAAATTTTCGAATTGTTTTCATTTATTGCGTCCACCTTGCACAGCCCCTCAAATATGGTAAGCTAGGCTTCATTGCACTTGACAGTACGGATCAGTGAGAGTGATGGATTTCAATACATTTTTTACTATCTTCCTGGTCGCTCTTTATTCAAATGCACTGCATCGTATTGATACATATTAAGCAGGGTTTTATTACTTAACACATATCGATAAACGATCAGGTATAAAATTACTGTAACAAATTTAAGCTTCTACATTACGTAGGTACATATGTACATATTTAAATTTGTACTTTTTATCGAGATGCTGACACGTGCATTAATGAGATTTAAGTAGAGGTAAGGTAGCCAAATATACTTGTAAATCTGTGTCTGAGGTGCCAATTTGGATCCAGCAAACTTGGGATTAACTCATACTGTCAGAAGTTTGACGTGATAAAATCCTCACTTTACGTCGAACACGAGTTCATTAGCAAACTTCTCTTGGTGTCATTTTAAGTAAGTGTCTTATGTCTATTAAAAACATGCAATTTTTTTCAGATGTGATCCTATACCTTAAATTAGGCCGGGTTTTATTACATTTGATATTTTCGTTAATAAGGACGCACTAACATAATACGTGCGAGGATTTCTGAAAAAATCATTCCAAACGTTTTTGAAAAATCATGTCCTCAAGCCACCAATTTAACATATTAAAACCCGATGGACTTTATTAATTAACAACCAATTATAACCGATTAAAATCCAGGCATCCAACTCAATAAAACCTTGGGTCAGAATACCCTGGTCGGACAAATTGGACCTTAATGACAATTTGATACTGACAAATTTATCAGACTTTTTAAATGACAAATTGGACATTTCCGACTTGTAAATTCAATTTACCAATAACACGTCATGACAGCATATCCGTACTCGTTAGGCAAAATTTTCTATGTAGAGTTCTCATCATTCTCGAATTTGTTTGTGTCCAGTTAGAATGTCAAGTATGTACGCCTTGTGTTTTTCTAGCGATGAAAGACAAAAGCCGTATTTAACCTCATTTTGACCAAATTCATTAAAATCCATGCTCCATCCACTTCTAAATGAGACTAGGTAAATACTTATACTAAAATTGTACATATACATATATCAAAAATATAACGAACAGTGGCGGGGCTAGTAGTGAGCACAAGTGGGCCCGTGCCCACGTGAAATTTTGTGCCCCTTTACACTAGATATTATTGAACTTTTTTCAAACCATAATGAGATAATCGTGGTGGACAAAAAAAGTAAACCTTGTTGGTCTTCGCTCACACGCTGCATTTACTTATCTGAGAATGCTGATCTGGAAGATTAGAACTATTTGATAAGATTTTATATAAATATTTTCTGTCTCAATCACTTTAATAATTTCATTTCAAACATTTGTAGGACGTCGTATTTGAAAAAATTTTACAAGTTTTGCAATGCATACAAAACTTCAAAATTTTGTTACAATTTTTAAAATATTTAAATTGTTAGAAATTTAAAACCAAATCAAAAATTCTAAAATTATGATTTTCAAGACCAGCCTAAGAATAATTGGAATGTAAATTTTTGAAAATTTATTGAGGTCTACCTAGGGATGTGCCGTCATGACATGTCATTGACAAATTGACATATTGACATGTCATAAATGTCCAATTTGTCAGACATTTAAAATTTGCGACAAATATGACAAATATGACACATATGACAAATTCAAAACATCATAAATGTCCAACTTGTCCGACATTTAAATCTCAGACAAATTGGACACTTATGACAAATTGAATTTCACAAATGAACAATTGTCAGTGTGATCGACATTTATTTTAAGCAGTAAACTAAACTTTTTTGAATTTTTTCAAATAAATCTGGAATGTCCCGTAATTTCGAAAATTTCAAAAAAGTTGAGTCTACTGGATATGGTCACACAAATATCTGGGATCACAAAAATATAAATTTCATCAATATTCGAACAAAATTGGATTTTGGTGAATATTTGAAGTTGGTAACTTCTGCAGCTCTTATCACTTTGAGGGGGTGTGGCGGACGCAAATGTGGCCGTCCTACATTAGATTAGAGGCATCACATATTCAAAGGGCATCAAGATCTAAAGAGGGGCATGTAGAAGGTCTCTCCTATTGAGTCAGTGTGTGCAAAAAGGCAGCCTTTTTACTTTTTGTAAATGCTTTTTTGCCTTGTTGCCTTTTTCAATGACCTTTTGCCTTTTTGCGTGCCTTTTTGATGCCTTTTTGCCTCTTTCCTGCCTTTTTGCTCGATTTTTGGGAACTGAACCCGATTTATTGTCGTTTATATCGTATTATATGTTTTTAAAATTGTATTTGAGGGTTCTGACTTTTATCAATACTTCAAATTAGTTTAATACTTTTCCCTACATATCTTCAGCGTCATCGCCATCAGCTTAATTTATCAAATTTTGACTGAAAGGTCATATTTGCGAAAAGTATAAAAAACGCAATGAGTAACTTTCACTTTAATTTTATCACGGGGTTTACGTCTCATCTCGCCCCAAATTAGCAAAAGGGCAAAAAGGCAAAGATTTTTGTGGGGCAAAAAGGCAAAGAGGCAGGCAAAAAGGCACTGCCTGCCTTTTTGCTCTGCACACCCTGTATTGAGTACACATAAGAATTTTTGTATTCAAACATTTGTCTGTAAACAATGGCTTATGTATATCCAGAATTAATACCATTGATAAAATAGTTAAATAGTAATTGGTAAACTTGGAAACAATTGATAAGTAGTATCATAGGTAAATTAATTAAATCAATTACTTAAGTGCACTTGTCTCGTTTACTTTTGCTGTTGTACCCTTATTTGAAGATTTAAGCAACTCCTGCCTTAAAATCTGCAATATCTTACTCTACGAACTCCATCGTAGGGTTTTAAAATTTTCCGTAGCTTAATTAATCGAATTAAATCAATGTATATACCAATGTTTATTTTCTTGATAAGGAGGCATTCCAAAAGACTCAATTACAAATTCTAAAATAAATGGGGAATATTGAGACAAAATGTCATATTTGTCCAATTTGTCCAATTTGTCCGTCATATTTGTCATAAATGTCGGACATATTGAAATCGTGACAAATTGGACGGACAAATTGACAAATATGACATTTATGACAAATATGACAAATATGACATATATTCGCTTGACACGGACAAGCTCCATCCTTAGGTCTACCCAGTATCTACTATATGTATTAGCAAGGGATCTGAAAAATGGAATCTGCCTAACTGGTCCTCGCGTTCAGTATACCACTGTTTTTTCGAATCTTCTAGACGAAGGATTCATTAATATTTCTGAGTAACACTCATGCTAGTCGTGGTGGGGTGGCGCGAAATTTTACAAATTTGAATGTTTTATTTTTCAGACGACAACAACTTTTGAAATTCTAAACGGATTTTCAACATTTTTAAACGTATCGAAATCATGGTAAGGAATTGAACTTTCGCATGTCAAATTTCTCAAACAAGGGACTTTATAATTTTTTTGAAAAATTTCGTACTTCTCATATAAGAGAAGATTTTGGACGTTTTCTTAAAATATTGAATTTTGTGGTAATTTTAAGCCCAAGATTTTTTAAATCGCACGAAAACGGTGAAAGTTATGGAGATCTGAAATTACAGAGGGTGGTCCAAGAAGCTGTATAAATATTCCATAATTTTTCTAGCCAGCAGGCGGAACTTTATGGGTTTGAAACTTGCTGGATGTGATGGTCCTTGTTAGTATCTTTAAGAATATATCGCTTTTTATCCGATAAAAAAACTTCCAGGGACTTTTCTGTGGTGTTTTTCTTGCACTCATTATTTTAAGCGTTCCAAAGTACGTGAAAATTCGTAAATCCTCCAATGTAAAATTTATCATTTCACGACGAAACATCCGAAATAATCCAATCGATCAACGTCTGATGACCACCCAGGTATGTCTTGATTTTTTTATGACTGCAGAACCAAAATTATCGTCGTCCGTTTTTGCGTACTGGTGAGATTTCTCCGCAATAAGCGAAAAAAAGTTTGCTTTCTCTCAATGCGTCGACCAACGGAAGACATTTTTGCCATAATATCTCCCAAATCAATTTTGATTACTCTCTGTATAGTTGATTTATACTAATCCAACAGCTATACCCTGCAGCATTAAAATTCGGGATCTACGTAGTGGGTTAAGTTATTCGAGACCGAATTTTTAGCTTTTTCGGGCGTTCAGCAATGGGTAGTTTCTTAGGAGGGGAGCTTGCGAGGTTGATAATAACAGATCTTGATGCCCTTTGGATATGTGATAGGGTCTCATGAGTGTACTAAAACCCTGAAGTGGTTTGACTCCATGGCCACATTTGCGCCCGCCACACCCACTCAAAAATGCCCAAAAACGCTTCCGATCCAGTTTTCACTCACTCAAATCCACGTCAA